GGGGACAAAAAAAAAATTTGTGGGGGGCGGGGGACTTAAAAAAATAATTGTGGGGGGCGGGGAAATTAAAAAATTTTTTTTTTCTTTTATGTTACTTTAACTTTTAAACACTTTATTTTGTTTTATTACGCTAACCCTATTCCTATCACACAGGGGGGCTAACAAGCACCCTATGTAATAGCAGATAGGGTGTGACAGGTCCTCTTTATGGAGACATCAGACGTCTTTCAGACCCCTAATGTCACCTAGGGACCCCCGAAGAAGAAGCTGAGGAAGGAGAGATCTGCTTCTTCTTCTGGCTCTAAGAGCCGGGGACTGTGTACAGCAGGGGTCTCAAACCTCCGGCCCTCCAGCTGTTGGTGGAACTACAAATCCCATGAGGCCTTGCAAGATTCTCAAGAGCCACAGACATGACTCCCGGAGAGAGATGCATCGTGGGATTTGTAGTTACACCCACAGCTGGAGGTTTGAGGCCCCTGGTGCACAGTGACAGCGGAGGTGATGTAATACACGTCACTTCCGGGTCCAGTGACAGGAGGAGAGATCAGAGTCTGGAAGCCGCAGAGACCCGCCGAGCGGGGACAGCGGTGCCCGGGGGAGACAACGGTGTCCGGGGCGTGGGCGGAGCCGCCGCGCGGTACGGACGCCGGATCACTTGTACATTAACAGCCATCGCTGCAGCCGCGTTCTTGTTTTAACCACTCCCGCGGGCCGCCGTCTATAGACGTATGGACAGTAAATGACGGCCGGAGTCCTCCCGGCGCGCTGTGTCGTCCTTCTGTTGTCACCACATGCACACGGGCTGCCGGCAGGAGAGCCGGAATGGGGGCAGGGACACCCCCGACGGTCTCGTGTTTCAAGCAGCGGGCGGGGGAGGTGTTTATGTAGCGCAGGCCTGCATCAGGTGCGGAGGGAAGTGGACATAATAATGCAAACCCCTGGCCCCGTGTCACCTGCCGAGGCTGATAAATGACCGGGGACACATTTTAGGGAGGTGGGCACTACACTGTAACCCCGCCCCCCAATGCTGCAGGAAGCGGAGTCTCACCTTTGTAGCGCAGCACCCGGGGGAAGGGGTTGTACAGGGTCAGCACCTGCTTGTGGCTGGCCTGCTCGTCGGCGTAGAAGTCCAGGGATGGCGGGAAGATGAAGATGGGGAGGGGGGAGCGGCCGGCGGGAGGCAGAGAGGCCTCGGGGGTCGTCCTCCTTTCATCTTCTTCCCCTCTGGCGGGAACCCTGTGCATGGCCGGCTACATACGCTGCGGTCACATCACATCCCCCGCGTACGGAGAGAGACGGCTCGGGGACCGGACACTGCAGGGGGGGGAGGGGAGAGAGAACAATCATTATATACATGTATGTATAGCTCTGACATATACCGCAGTGCTGTACACAGAGCCAGTCACATCAGTCTCTGTTGTCAGCTCTGCAAAGGAGTCTCACTCCTGTTGCTGCACTGGGCACATATTGAGTCCAGCAGTGTGACTCCCCTGCTGATGGGCGGAGCTGGGAACACAGACAGCAAATTTTAAAACCCCCCCCGCCTCCACCCACTGGATAGAGCGCCCACCACTCAGGTGTCAGCTCGCAGCATGCCGACAATAAGGAGTGACGTCACCGACCGAGCTCCCAGCATGCCCCAGGGCTGTCCCCCGGGGAGTGTGTCGGGTCGGGGTCCCCGCACTGTTACCTGCAGCCTCCGCCGCTTCTTCCTGTTCTCCCCGTACTGACTGCTGATTGGACGCTGCGCCTGTCCGTCAGCCGCCGGTCGGGAGGGGGCGGAGATGAATACGTCTATCTGATTGGCGGAGCACTTTCCTATAGGCGATGTGGAACTCGGCCCCCCCCATGTCATGTGACTCCCTCCTTCACGCTCAGCAGCCATTTTCTCGGAGACCAAATAGTAGAGGGAGAAGTGTCAATGTCTCCAACAAAGTGGAGGGTAATGCGAAATTCTAAGCCTAAACCTGGCTGTCTGCCAAACACCGTAATAACACCGCACAGCTGCACAGAAGCATGTGATTAAATCATGTGACCGCCGGAACTCGTTGATCATGTGACTCCATCGACATGTCAATAAATGGCTGTCACTACCCCACAAAGTTTCTGAAGAATGTCAGTAAATCACGTGACCCCCCCCAAACTATATCAATAACTGTGACCCCTTTCATTGTCTTCAGCTTGTCATAAAATTATGTGATTATCCTTTTTTATGGCACGCCAGTAAAGTATGACTGCGCCCCTATACATGATCTACACATAGATTTCTCAAGCCAGGTGACCCTGATATCAATAGGACCCCCCATTTGTGGAGAACCGCCAAACTCAGGCAACTGGGGCCTAAATATACACTCTACACACCAACAGATCAAAGAATTGGGTCCAGTGCCTCTTCCTGGACTGTGTCCTGGTTGCAGATATTTACCCTCACTTCCTGTCTGGTGAAACCGTAGTCAACAGGACAAGAAGTGAGGGGTAAATCGCTCTAAGGGGGCCCCGATAGCAGCAAAATCCTAACAGGGGTTTCCAAAACCAGTTTTTGTTATGGCTTACACTTTAATTGTGAAACCCACTCCTGTTTTCAGCATGTCAGTAAATCATGTGACTACCCCCCTTATTAGTAACCAATGTTCCCCATGTTGGTAAATCTTGTAAACATCCCAGTGTCAGTAAATAATGTCACCCTCCATGTCAATTAATCACGTGAACCCCTCCATGTCAGTAAATCATGTTACCTTCCCAGTGTCAGTAAATCATGTGCCCCCCCCCCTTATGTCAGTAAATCATGTGACCTTCCCAGTGTCAGTAAATCATGTGACCCCACTCATGTCAGTAAACCATGTGACCCCCTTATGCCAGTAAATCATTTG